CCTGAGGTAGATACACTCTTTGGAGAGAACAATCATTGAGAAAGAAGGGCTGCCTATGCACAGGGAGACAGCTCAGGGGGCAGGAGTCCATGGAGGGATAGACATTGGGAAGAGGTAACTATGGGGAGGATTTGGGAAGGGAGCTGTTGCATTGTGGTAAACTGTGGTCAATATCATTAGACAAAGTATATATAAACTGCTGTATGGAAATTGAATTTAAATCTGTAAATCTTTACCCAAATCACAATAAAAAAAAAAAAAAAAAAAGGGAAAAAAAAGAACAAAAAATAAAATAAAATAGATAGAAATTACAGCAATTAATTTCCAGTTTGGCAGATGACCTGATGATCCAACGGAATGTAGCTGTGCTCTGGCAAACAACCAATGAAAAGGCCATCATATTTGTTTCTCTCAGCAGATTTGGCCTCTAGTTGAACAGAACCATATACACCCTTCTCTTCCACACAATTTGTTATGGCTCAGACAAGACGTAATGTAGAAGGCACAATCTGCTGTTGATCATACCTGCTGGCCAGTCACCTGAAATGTCTCCTCTGCATGTACACAGGTTATTTCAAGAGGTTCTGTCCCAGATACATGTCGCAACAATCGGCAGGTCTAAGAGGAAACATCGGGATAGGTCAAATTCACACCGATTTTTCCCAACACATAGCATCATTTTATTATTAATAAAGAAATTTTTAAATTACAGATATGATTTATAAAACCCTGTAAATTTATACATTATTATTATAAAACTATAATTGCTGCCAGCAGATTCTCTAGGAACAAACAGGATATAACATACTGTTTCTATTTCCCAATCGTGAGGAAAACAAACAAACAAAAAAAAACCAAACTCATGCCATCGAGTCAAATCTCACTCATAGCAAACCCCAGTGGGCTCTCAAGGCTATAAATCTTGACAGCAGCAGACTGACTCATCTTTCTTCCACTGAGTGGCTGGTTGGTTCAAACCAATGACCTTTTGGTTAGCAGCCAAATGTCTTAACCACTACACCACCAGAACTACTTAATCATGGGGAAGTAGTCATAAAATGTTGTTGTTGTTGTTGTTGTTGTTGTTGTTGTTATATGCCGTCAAGTCGGCCCCGACTCAAAGCGACCCCTCCTTGGGTTTCCGAGGCAGTATCACTACGGAAGTAGGATTGCCCAACATTCCTTCCGAGGAGTGGCTGGTGGGTTTGAACCGCCAGCCTTCTGGTTAGCAGTCAAGTGCTGTAGCCACTATGCTACCAGAGCTCCTTAGAACCAGAAAAATCTTTGAAAAGATCTAGTGCTCATACATTTTATATTTGAAGAAATTTGACTAAGAGAAGTGACTTGCCCAAGGCGTCACAGTTCAACTATGTCAGAGTTACCCTACAGTCATAATATTTGGTTTACAAACATAACGACATCAAATCTATTAAATACAGATTTACCTGATGTCATTTTAAGAATGCGCCCTAGCAGTTTTCAGGCTGCTCTGTAAAGAACTAAAGCTACTACAGTTGGTCTACGAGGTCCCTTCTAGCCATTAGCCTTTGAAATATTAGACATATATGAAGATAGCTAAATGGTTCGTATCTGTGCGTTTATATACATGTTGACCAGGACATACCTCGTACATACAAAGTATACAAGGGTTGTTTGTTTTACTAGCAGATTTTTAACATTTTCAATAGGCAAATGGCTTAGAATATTAATAAGCTATATTGGAATTATAACAAAAGTAGCAGGCCTGCATTGGTGAAGCACCATTAACACATAATAAAGATGTGGGCAGAAAAGAGAGACTTGCAGTTAGTGGAGTGTTGTGCTGGATGTCTTCCCTTTGTGCCTCCAGAGCCACTCTCCCTTCTCACACCTGCTTTTGGCCCTGGAAGGCTGGCCTGCATTTGGCTGATGGGCGGCCCCAGAAATGAAACAGCAGGCATGAGGCAAGTACTGCCATGGTGCTTCTGATCTGCAGGGTCACCATGGGCTGTCCATGTGCCTAGTTCAAAAGTCACTCCTATTAAAGAGGTCCTCTCGGGAAGATCTTTTCCCTCTCGGGTTTCAGAAACCACTCCCCTATCCCACTAATTTGGGCATGGGGTGCTATTAGCCCCACCATCATGACCCCAAATCCTGCACTCTCACTGAGGCTCCCATACCCTGCCAACTCGTTTGCAAAAAGCTCCTCCACTGAACTCTCCTTAAGCCATCCTAATTTGAGTGTACCTTCTACTTCCTGCTGAGACTGATGGATTCAGAGAGAAACTAGGTCATACAATGTACCCCACTGCTTTGCTCCAAGGTCTAATCTCTGAGAGGATAAGAAAACGAAGATTAAGAAGTGCATTTGTGGGTCCTGAAGTTTTCTGTTCTGTTTTGTTTTAGAGGCCAAATGCTGTAAGAATGGAACAGACACAGCTTATGCCTTTAAGGTTCCAACAAAATGCTCATATAAAAACCAAACACTGTATTCAGGTTCATAGCCCCTTATGATAGTATAGCTGTCATGAAACCATAATTTTTTTTTTTTCAAGCAAACCCATGACTCACCTCAATGAGCTGTTCTTTCTGTTCAGAGAGTTTACAAGCATATTCAGCCAAAGCTTCTAAATTCCCTTCTACTCCAGTAAGTTTTAATGCCTTTAAAGTCACATGATTAGCATGGTGCTTCAGTAGATCGGCTGCCAGCTGTGTGGCTGTGCTATGAAGCTGCAGATGTGGGATGAAGGGTGAGGAAGGGAAAGAAAACAAATAAGGTTTGTCTGTTTCAACCAAGCACTTTATAAGCATTTTAAACACAAGAAGAGAAACCTCAAAGCAGCTCCACTGGATCCATGGACCGGAAAGTATGGAGTCCCCTGTGGGAATAACAGAAGTTATACAGCACTGAGGGGCTTTTAAGTGCGCCCAAGAGCAAGAGTGATGTCTGAATCTTCTCTGAATCCCATGGTGCCAGCACTACTGGTATCTACTTCAAAAGAACTGGACATCCAGGGACAGAGTGGCCTTGTCGCTTTTTCATCCTCTGACCAACCAGCTCTTTCCCATACAGCTTCTCTCTCATTTATAAAACAAAGCAGCTCCTGCTGCTATTCAAGTTAGTGAGGAAGGGAACAAGGTTAAGTATAGTGTTCAGAGTACCAGAAGCAAAATCAGGGGTAGAAGAGGCAATGTAGGTACTGTGCTATGTGCTGGACATGTATGACAAAAAGAACAGAGTCCTTCCCTTCAGGAGGGCTACATTCTATTTAGAGTTGCTATCCAGAACTTTACTCTCTGGAAAAAAAAACAAACCTAACACTATTTGACTTGAGTAGAACAGGTTTAGCATGGCTACTCACACTGCATAGAGCTGAGCCCTATTAACACCTGTCTTTTCTTCTCCTTATCTACTTTTTCTTTTTTTTCAAATGATGTAACTTCCAGTAAGGTAGCAAAATAGGCAGACAAGCCACACAGACCCTCTTCAATAAGGAAAAGAGAAACCAATTGACAGAGATACAGAAGATATTCCTGGAGCCCTGAGCTTTGAAAAGAAGTATACAGAAGTGCGTTAGGCACCAACTAGTGGAAAAACCTGAACGAAAACAGTGAGTACAGACATGGACAGAGTTTAAGACTGTCAGCTGCTCTGATGGCACCAACAGCCTGAATATTTCCAAATGGTGTTGGGACCTTAGAATTGACCTAAAGATCAGCCCTAGTTGCCAAGGGCTGCAGGGACGACTGCACTGGTGGCCAATGACTAGGAAGGGAAATAGCAAAGAGAGAGACAACCTGAGCTGTGGACCAGAGGGCACAGCCATTTTGATTTGTTTACAAGCGGTGGCCATTTTGGAGATTTAAAGTGACCAAGGGTGCATCCATTTTGAATGTTTACAAGAGGCAGCCATTTTGGTTATTTAAAGTGACAGCATTCTCACTGGGACTGTAGGGACCTAAGAATAGGCTCTGCTTGCCAAAGACAGCAGGGCCATATGGGAGGCAGAGACAATGGGAAAGGAGACAGGTGGTGAGTGTATTGTTGTTGTTAGGTGCCGTCAGGTCATCTCTGACTCACAGCAACTCTATGCACAGCAGAATAAAACACTGCCCAGTCTTGTGCCAGCCTCACGATCCTTGCTATACCTGAGCCCATCGCTGCAGCCACTGTGTCTATCAATTTCATTGAGGGCCTTCCCCTTCTTCATTGACCTTCCACTTTACCAAGCATGATATCCTTCTCCAGAGAATGGCTCCTTCTGACAACATGACCAAAGGTGGTGAGACGAAGTCTGGCCATTCTCGCTCCCAAGGAGCATTCCAGCTGCACTTCCTCTAGGACAGATTTGTTAGTCCTTTTACCAGACCATG